TTGGTTATCCATTCCTCAGTTGTTGGACATCTAGGTTGTTTCCAAGTTTTGGCTATTGTAAATAGTGCTGCGATGAACATCGGCGTGCATATAAGCACTTAACTTTTTGCACCACTCAGGGACTCCTAATAGTAATATTAAACAGAAAAAAACCCCAATCAATGGCAATGAGTTGATTCCAACTCATAGTGACCCCTATTGGTTACCATAAATCTACAAAGCAGACTACTCCATCTTTCCTACCGCAGAGCAGCTAGTGGGTTCGAACCAACCTTTAGGTTACCAGCCAAATGCTTTAACCGCTACACCACCAGAGCTCCTTATAGTAATAGCAGAAGCAGACAAATGCTGGTGATTTCATCTTCATATTCTAATGGACTTGTTCTTGGTTCAGTGCTGACAGATCCAGTGGAGCCCTTAGCTAGTGGGGTGACAGCTGAGGCTCTGGTGTCCGGGCAGTTTGTGTGGAAGGAAGCAGCCCCAGGGAGTAGGTGTTTGTTTCTCCACTCGGAGGCATCCTCTGCAGAGTGAGGATCTGCGTTCTGATAGTTTTCCTGACTGGAGCATGTGTCACAGGTCGAGCCCCGTGTGGAATGGGAGGAGTAATGTATAAGTCATGAGTGGCCCTTTCCTGGCTGATGAGTGTGTGAGGCGGGCCCAGCCACGCCATTTGCCGTCTGTGTGACTTAGGGAAAGATTGTCTGGATAGGTATGTCTGAGCGAATCAGATAGGTGCATTCTAACCAGAAAGGTGTTGCTGGCTAGTCACCTTATGCTTGCTTCAGTCAGTGGGCATCTCCCATGGTTTTTTACCTTCAGGTTCCCATGGCTTAAAAATTAACAAAGTTAATACTGTCCTATAGGGGGTGAGTGGACACAGGGTCATGGGGAGAAGGAATGGAGCATGTCTTTGGGCAGGTGCTTCCTGAATATGATAGGAATGTGGGAAGCGGGGTGGGGGGAGCGGAGAGCCCCAGAGAGTCAGCAACTGCCACCAAGCTCATTCTTAGACAGCTGTCACCGAGTGTCTCCTTTGCCTTGGTAGTTCTGATAAAGGATATTTTTTCCCCTACACCTTCATTGGTTGGCGGGGGTTCCCTGGGTGGTGCAAACAGTTAGCATGTTTGGCTACCAAAGGAAAGATTGGAGGTTCGAGCCCACTCAGAGGTGTCTGGAAAGAAAGGCCCTATCTACTTTCCAAAAAACCCACCACTGAAAACCCTATGGAGCACACTTTGGCTCTGACACATCCCCAGAAGGTGAACTTGATGGCAACTGGTTGGTTTTTCATTGGTTGATTTGACAGAATGTTCCCATGCTGACAAAACATTAGTTATTTAACCATCAGTACATTTACTAAGATGATTTTAGTTTTTGAACTGATTGATCTTTGTGTACCAACAGGCTGTAGGGTAGGAAAACATTGTTTCTGTAAACCAGTGGGAAATGTGTGTGTGTGTGTGTGTGTGTGAAGGTGTGATGGGTGCCAGCAGGTGGGCACAGGGATGTAATGGAGCTTTGATTTGTTTTCTTTTACTTATATGTGATTTAGTTCCGGAAGCACAGCACCTAACTGCTAACCAGAAGATTGGCGGTTCCAACCCACCAGCCACTCC